CGGGGTGCTGGGGACGGGCAGCGTCGTGAGGGGAGCAGACAGAGTGCCCGGGAGCACGCGGGCAGAGAACTGTCCCTTGACGGTGTGTTTGCCGTACTTTGAGCGTTCACGTGTTTAAAAGCGATGGACCTAGGGTTTAACAAAAAAGTTGCCAAAGGATAGTTCTGTAAAACGTTCTTTGCAGGTTTCCCTTTTCAAAAATGTAGCACAGTTGGGGAAGTGTGGAGCTAACTGATGGTGCTGCTTGGAAGAAACACATTCCTCAGCCCTGACAGAAGCCTGAACTCAAGGAGATCTGAAACAGCGAAATAAATTTCATAAAGGCTATGAACGTGTCAGTTACTTGCATTTTTCTGTTTATTTCCTAGAGAAAAAACACCAAACGAGTTCCCAGCTTTCGCAAGTTACTGAGAACTAGTAAAATAAAACTTGAGAACAAATTAAAGAATAAACAGTACAAGCAGCAGAGTGCTGCTAGGAAGTACCGAAAAGAACAAAAGAAGCTAAGGGAGGCTGTCAGAGATGCTGTCTCTAGAAAACCTTTTCCACTGGAAGAATGCAAGAAAAAAGTTGGTAAGTGTTTGCTCAGTGTTGTTTTGCTAAGCGAAAAGGTGTGAGGGTTACTAAATACCCTGCTGCTTTGGGCTGTGGAATTATGTATCAAGAAAGCAACATTTCATTTTCTGTGTACAAATAATTGCTGTTTTTGTTTAAAGGAAAGGAAGGGAGAGTTATGAAAAATACAAAGTGTGGGCATTCTGGCAACAAGATCTGACAATTGGAGATGGTAGAAATGTGTTTGTCCTTATCATTATGGGATGCCGCAATAAAAGGGCCATTTTCTGGGATAACACAAAACACATGCATTAAGGTTGATCAGTTCAAGGTTGAAGTACGGTGTAAAATGGTTGCAGAAGTGTGGGCAGGGTTGGATTTTCAAGTTTGAATATACATACAGGATCTTAATTTGTACACGTCATCTTCTGAAATAGCTGAAAAATGGGAAGAACAAGAGGAAGAAGGTGCTCTTCCACTGGACATGATGGATGAAGATGACTTAAAATTAATGGAGGATTTGGCTCAAAAAGCATCCTTTTTAACCAGAGATCTTTCTTCTAAGTGAGTGTTGTTTTGATGTCTGCTTTTTGTACTAATTCAGCTTTGGTGGTTAATACGTAATTAGTATGTAATGCAATACACATATCAGGAGGTCACTTTCAGTCTGGTGTTTCTTTGCAGTTCCAGTTTAGTGTTTCCTTTGCCTGTCAGTACATGCAGTATTAATGTGTTGATGTGTATCAGCACGTTCACGTGCTCTGCCAGACCTTCGGGATGCTGTCTCTGCACAGTGTTCCCTCCCATGAGGTCCCTGGCTCTAAGATGAGTAGCATTCCTCAGACTGAAAGAAATGCTTTAATCCGTGTAGAGAGTCTTCTCTTGTGTCTAGAGCATTCAGGACATGCCCTGGACTTTGGGCCACTATGCTTGCTTTCACGTTGCATTGCAGATTGCTTTAAAAAAAAAGGGGTTCTGGAAGCCATGTCTGTAAATACATGCAACACCAAAACATTCATACAAAAAATTTGTTACCAGTTTTCTGAAGCAAGGTGGTAGGTAGAGTTCACAATGAAATACACAGAAGGATAGTTGCTCTTTTACCTGTTATTACTAGCTTTTAGCTCATTCCATCATGTTCCCTTAAACTGGAGAATTTGTCTTTTTAATCTGCTTTACTCTGATCAGCTATAATAATTTGTAAGAACTTGTCAAATATTACCTCACTTACAAATTACATGTTCATATTAGCACAGACTAACTACTAATGTTGTTGTATACTTATGTGCAGGTTAGGAATATATCCTGCGAAAGCGTGGTACACCATGCTGCGTTATTTCTCTTATCCTTGGAGGGTGGGGTATGACACAGGCATTCCCAGTGAGCAGTGTACACAAGTCGTAGTAGTAGTGGTAGAAGTTAACATGGAGTAGGAATAAGTGAAAATGTGCACGGACCCACTCATTATCGCCTCGTGGTTAGGTGTCGCCTGGGAAGTCAAGGCAGGGTAGGGGAAAGCGAGGCTGTGGGACAGGATATCTTAAGGAAGACACTGGACTATTTGCCTGGTGAGAGGGTCCTGGTCTTGCTTGCTTGCTGATGAAGACCTTCATGGCAGGACTGCTCAGGGTTGTTTTTAGTGAGCCTCAGCCATGCCAGGGCACCTGCTCATGGCGTGAGGTAGGCAGGTAAAGCAACACGCTGGCCTAGGCGAGAGACAGGCTGTGCTGAGATCTGAGTAGTTTCTATTTTTCATCTTTGTATTTTATTTATTCTTCTCCAAAATTTTTAATGCTTAAAGGCTGAAATCATGTTTCCAAGTGATGTTTGCCTTTACAAGCTTCATCTGGTTTGTTCCCTGTTGCCTTGCTTTGAAGGGTCCCTGAGTCCCTTACCACCACATGAATGGGAGCAGTGCCATCTCAAAACCCATCAGCCAATACTAGGGTTTCTGGATGTCTGGTATGACCCAGAATTTCCCTTATTGTCACTGCAGCTGTATTTTCTTCATGCTCAACAGATAAATCACAGACGTGTAGAATTCCTGTGCTTGTTAAGTAGGATTTGGGTACACAGGAAAGGTTTGATCTGCATAGGCAGAGCAAGGCTGAGGCTGGTGCAGTGTCCTTTTGATACATCCATAGGGAGACTGTGTGTGCAGGGAATCTGGGTAAACTCTGGGATATAAAATTACTTCTCATCAGGTGATTTTTATGTTCTGAATCCTAGCAGTCTCGGAGCCCAGAGCTTTCGGAGTCCTTCACACATCCATAGTTGAAACTCTGCCCCTTACAAGAGCAAAAGCAGTGTTCCTGTTATAAGACAAACCGTGTGGCTTCAACAGTGTGATTCTTTATCCCTAGCTTTTAGTTTTTTAGTAAGATGAACAGATAACACACGTCATAGTGTGCCTGTATTATAAGCGATTAAACCAGTTATTTTTTTTGTAAATTCAAAATCAGTGCAAGCATTTTGCATGTGCGTGTGTGTTTACACTTATATTCCAACGCATCAAAATACACAAAATTGTCTGACCTGCCAGATCAACTAAATCTCATTTTGCCTTTGCTCATTTCACATTTAGTTTCCTATAAAAAGGAGATGGGAAGCACCGTATTGTCCTGAATTCAAAGATCCTGTACAGATCCACGTTGGCATTGTTTTATTGAGAGTTGACTGGTGCTGTCGATTGTGAACACACTCAAACATTCCACTTAATAAGATCAGCCATTATTTATTTTTCTAAGTGCGGACACTTAATCCAGCTAGTATACTGTCATAAATGGTTCATGTCTAGATGGTTAATTCATTTAGTTTGCCTTGTATTTTTCAGTGAACCTGTTCATGTCAAAAAACGAAAACATGAAAGTGTGATTGAGAAATATGAGAAGGTGCCAAGACGCACACAGACTGAGCCAGAAAAGGAACTCATCCATCTGCTCCCCATCAAAGACAAGGGTGGCATTATACCCCAAACTATAGAAAAGCCAGGTAAGACACAGATTCCAGAATTGGCATAGTAGCCAGGATGTATATAATTTATTTTTTTACAATTCCACAGTGTTTATTACGTGCTTGACATTCGACATTATGTTTTTGCAGTTCTCAATGTTGCACAGGATGAAGAAGAGGATACAGAAGAAATGGAGGA